TGCACATGCCCAGAAAAGGCAGCACATTATTTCAACCCTGCTCTGTAGCATCTGTAAAGATCAGGTGCTTTAGTTTGGGGGTGGGGGGTGGAATTGGCACTGTTATCTAATAGCTGATTGAATCAGTTATAGCTGAAAGCACCCAAAAGCCTAGGTGAAGTGCTCCATCTTTATAGATGCTGCAGAACTGGGTTGAAGTAATGCGCTGCTTCTTCCTGTAAAGCATGGGGGTTTGGGGTTTTTTTTAAACATCTGCAAGCAGCCAAAGTGATGCCACCTCAGGGCAGGATTATCTCTGACCTGTGCTACCTGTGTGACCTGTATTGCACCAAGGTGCAGCCAAGCTAGGCTACACATTAGTGTAATCACCCTACCTGCCCCCTCCTCTGCTGCCCAGGATTGGGACCACTGCTTCCCCTGCCCTCCCCAGCACTCCATATCCCCACTCACTGCCCCCCAGCCTGCCTCCTGCTTACTTGTGGCTGTCCACACTGTCTGTCCCAGGGAGCAAGCAACCATTCCCTGTCTGCTCCCCAGGACAGTCAATGCAGGCAGCCGCAAATAAGTAATGCCCCAGGGGCAAGGGGGAGGCAGGAGGTACTCCAAGGGATGGGAGGGGAGCCCATGGGCTGGGAAGAGTCCTGGGGGGCAGGGAGGAAGCCCAGAATGGGGCTGGGGGTTGGAGGGGGCGGGGTATTCTTATCTTTCAGTCTTCCAAACCTTTGCTGGCCTGTGCCAAACTCCAGCTAACACTAACACCCATCAGCATTTGAGTGGTTCACAGCATGTGGCATAACAAGATCCTTATTCAGTTTAAGACTGAAGCAAAAACTTTAATGGAATGAGTTAAAAACAGTTTGCACGTTTGGGAAATAGGAGTTGCATGGCTAGGAGCAGAGAACAGATAGCAGAATGGTAGATGCAAAGCTAGCTTGATTAGTGAAACAGCAAGAGCATAAAAAGGGAGAGAGGGTTGTTAACACCTGTGGAATGGAGAGATGAGAAGGGATCAGCGACATTATAAGAAACCACGAAGTCAAGCGACTCCTTCAGAGCTGCCTGACTAAAAATGCTGCATGCACTGCCAGGCATTTGGTTTTAAACTTTGCATGAGGCAGGAATCAAAAGGGGGTGGCAGTGGACCCTGGATCTGCCCCTGTTTGCAGGCACCGAAAATCAGACAGTCCTAGAACCACAGAGAAGCAGGGCTGGAAGGGACCTCAAGAGCTCGCCCAGTCCAACCCCTGCCTGAGGCAGCATCATCCCTGTCCAAACCATCCCATACAATCCAAAATCTAAACTTGGCATAAGACTACCCTCAATCCTGACACCGCACCAACCTAACACACCAGCCTGCCACAGGCAAAGCAGGGCACCCGCAGCAGCCAGTGTCTCTGAAACTTTGCACCAGAGACCCTGAGTAGAGGGCCATGCTCCCTTGCTACACAGGAAGGCAACCCCCCCCCACCCCCCCAACCAAGGTGAGCAGGGAGTGGAAACTCCTTCCTGCCCCCAAATGTGGTGTCAGCCTGACGCTGAGTGGAGGGGCCTCTCCCCTAGCCAGGCATCTCCAGGTTAGGTCCCAAAGGCACTGGCACACTCCAGTCAAACGCCAACACCCAGTGCCTCTGACAGGGGGTTCCCCGCCCCCCCCCCCATACATGTAACAGAAAGCGGGGAGGGTGCAGGGGCTCAGCCAGCCAAGCGCAGCAGCACGGAGCCGCGCGGGGGTAACGCGCTTCACCCCG